ACTGTGCCCAGCCCCCAGTACAAATTTATTAACCTCCTTCCCCTACTAAGGGGAATACTGAGGACAACAGGCTTTGTCAACTCACAAAAGGTCCTGTTAAGCAATGGATGCCTGTTCACCTGACACTTGCATACTTACTCGGGGAGCACTCTCAAGTTTCGGGAAAAGTTCAAGATGATCTGTTCTGAGACGACTGACTCTCCGTGGTCACCTGGACTCAAAGGTTTTGGCAACTTTTCTTGTTAAAAAGTGATTAGGTTCTCTTCACTAGGCTCCCTGTGACTTCCACCACAGTAGAAGTAGTTAAGCTCGAGAGAGCACTTAGTGAGCGCCCACAGGGTTCTGAGCACTTTGCATGCAGTCACTCGTTTACTGTTGACAACACCTCCATGAAGCAGGTACTATGAGATCAGCTACCTTTCACTGAGCATCTAATATGTGCAAGGTGATTTTCACCATCTGTATAATGAAGTGGAGAAATTTGCTCACCAGAATTCCAGAATTTCTCTTCAAAAATCAGGTGAATAGGCGGGTCAGATGAGAGGGGGTGTTTGGAAAGGGATACAGGGGCAATGACAGCGTAGCATGGGGCCAGCAGAGGAGGGGGAGGAGACACAGCAGTGTGGCGGTGACAGACTTTGTGGAACAGGGTGGCAGCAACAGTAGAAAGGACAGGGAGGAACTTTAACATGTTTGCTATGTGACCCGTTACATTAATCCTTGTGCCCTTCAGGACAATCTATCATAAAGTTCGACATTCTTCTTCCAAGTTTTCGCTAGTTGGATTTACCCAGTATGACTTTTGGATGTGTCCATGGACAGCTTTATTTAGCTCTCATTTTAAAATTAGGATGTTTAGTATAAAAAATCCCAGAAAATATCAAGTGTTGGAAAGGATATGGAGAAACTGGCACACTTGTGCACCGTTGGTGGGAATGGAAAATGCTCCAGCTGCTATGGAAAACACAATGACAGTTCCTCAGAAATTAAAACCAGAATTACCATAGGATCCAACAATTTTGCTTCTGAATATACATGTATATATGCACCCCAAAGAAATGAAAGCAGAGGCTCAAACAGCTCTCTGTACACCTATGTTCATAAAGCATTATTTGTAACAACCAAGAGGTAGAAACAATCCAGTGTTTATCATCAGATGAATGGATACACAAAATGTGGTCCCAACATACAATGGAATATTATTCAGCCTTAAAAAGGAAGGAAGTTCTGATGCATGCTACAACACAGATGAACCTTGACATTATGCTAAGTGAAATAAGTGACGAGGGACAAATACTGCATGATCTGCTTATATAAGGTACCTAGAGTAGTCACATTCACAGACAGAAAGTCAACGGTGGTTGCCAGGGGCTAGGGAGGAGGAAAATGGGGAGTTATTGTTCAGCAGGTATGGAGTTTCAGTTTGCAAGACAAAAAGAGTTCTAGAGATGGATTGTGGTGATAGTTATGCAACAATGGGAATGTGCTTAATCCCACTGAATTGTACAACTTAAAATGGTTAAGATGGTAAATTTTCTATGTATTTTATCACATTTAAAAAACAATCCCAAAGCAGCTGTGCAAGATACGTTTAATTACTCTTATTCCCCAGGTGAGGAAATCCAGGCACAGAGAAGTTAGGTGCCTTGCTAGGGCTACACAGCTGGGCATCAAATCAGGATCTGACTCCCTGTGAAGGCCACGCCTCTCTCCCGCACCACAGGAGCGTCACAGGAGCCACTCAGGGAGCAGTGGAGACAGAGGTGCTAGGTGTCAGCTGATGCCACAGAGATTCATCTTGGGCGGGCCTAGCCTGTCCTTTCTGCGCATTTCTCTCTCTAGACTGCACTTCCTCCAACCCTGCATTTTCTAGTGTCCTTATTCCCTTCTCTGCCTTTCCCCATCAAAACATTCTCAGAGAAAAACCTGATCACTCATTTATACCTAAGTTACATGGTGTGAATTTAAATCAATGCACTGCCTTTCTGAGGGGTGCTTCCATGTTAAGCCTCATCACCCTTTATGAAATGAAAGGCTTTGTTTCATATTAAAGGAATTTCAGGCATCAAGGAACAAGTGGGGAGAAATGGGAGGGTGATGGTGGCAGGTGGGGCAATGATAACCCAAGGAAAGGCATTAAATGGTGAAACTTTGGTCACACATTTAGAAGGGAGATAGATTTTATGGACATGCTGATCTTTCAGAGCTCCACAAAGATGTGAGGGGTGGGTGTGTGGGAGATGGGAGGATGGACAGTTGATGCTCAAATCCTTCCTCTGAGCAAGCGTAGCTGCCTGATTTCCAGACTCCAGAACCATGTGCATCCTAGAAAAGAGAATCCAGGGCTTGATTTTTTCAGCGGATCACTTCTCTGACCGTTCTCAATGCCACCTCTCTGCGCTGTGAAATCCCAGTCCCAAGCAGCTGGGTGTGGTAGCTGGAGCTCTCTGTCCATAGAATCTGAACAATGATTCCTTTAGCGTCAAGAATGCATTCCACACACTCACTGGCAGATTGTGCTATACAGAACCTAAGGCGAATCCTGTGGACGTTGATGCCAGTCTTCCAGGTGCTTACAGAATAAGACTGAATGTTCCCAGGGAGTAGAAAAGACACCATCCCAACAGCATTGAGGCTAAGCGCCTGTATCTGAATCAGGCTTCCTGGTCTGAGTTCCTCCTTCTATCTACTGCCAGCTGTGTGACCCAGGGAAGTTTCTTAATTTCTTTGTATCTCAGTTTCTTAATCTGCCTAATGGGGATAGTAATATGTCTATTTCATGGGTAACCAAGGCTCCGAATGGACCACTTCTGGATGCCTCCTTTATGAGAAGAAAACGTCTCCTTCCCACCAGGGCGGTGTATCCTCTCCCCCAGCACACAGCATCGTGAGTGGGGACCAGAGTAGATTTTAGCCCCACCAAGTCTCCTGTACCTCCCTCAGCCAGGCACAAACTGCACAGCTGTACACAGCAGCCTGTGGGATAGTCATGAAGATTAGATAAAATGACCTCCGTGCTCCGTCCAGCATTTGGCTCAATAAATACCAGCTATTATTATAATCAATATTAAATAAATGCATAACTCAATTAGTATACCAAGAATCAGTTATCAGTCAATACTGTAGGGGAAAAAACCTCAACAAAATAGTAGAGAATATGAAAATACTCGTGTGGGCCGGGCATGGTGGCTCACGCCTGTAATCCCAGTGCTTTGGGAGGCCAAGGCAGGCGGATCACCTGAGGTCAGTAGTTTGAGACCAGCCTGGCCAACATGGTGAAACCCCGTCTCTACTAAAAATACAAAAATTAGCCATGTGAGGTGATGGGTGCCTGTAATCCCAGCTACTCAGGAGGCTGAGGTAGGAGAATCGCTTGAACCCAGGAGGTGGTGGTTACAGTGAGCCCATATCACACCACTGCACTCCAGCCTGGGTGACAGAGGAAGATTCTGTCAAAAAGAAAGAAAGAAAGAGAGAGAGAGAGAGAGAGAGAGAGACTCATATGTAGTAATGAGATGAATTTTTATGCTGACAATCAAATAAGGGAGTATTGTTGTACGGTAGAGAGTGTACTACAAATCAGAGACCCCAATCACACACGAGGATCCAGTTGAGAAGAAAACAAAGGCAGCAGCACGTACCTCCAGAGGGGCTGCCTGCCCTGCTCTGTGCTCTGCTCTGGGACAGACACAGCACTGCGCCTCTCCCACCACATGAAAGCTCCAGGATAAGTAGAGCTGTCCTTGTTCTCCAAGCCTGCTGCCTGGATACGCACACCTTCCTGGCAAAAATTATGTATTCTATTAATTTAAAATATTTTCCCTTTCAGCTCTGCCTGGTTGGCAGAATGCATATAGAAGTAAGAGTAAACGGGGATAGCAATTCTGTCTATAGAAAATATGTTCTTAGAATTGCATCTTAAAAACAAGTTGGCCGGGTGAGGTGGCTTGCACCTGTAATCCCAGCACTTTGGGAGCTGAGGCAGGTGGATTGCTTGAGCCCAGGAGTTCAAGACCAGCCTGGCCAACATGGCAAAACCTCATGTCTACAAAAAATCAGCCGGGCACGGTGGCTCACGCCTGTAATCCCAGCACTTTGGGAGGCCGAGGCGGGTGAATCATGAGGTCAGGAGATCAAGACCATCCTGGTTAATACGGTGAAACCCCGTCTCTATTAAAAATACAAAAAAATTAGCCACGCGTGGTGGCAAGTGCCTGTAGTCCCAGCTACTCAGGAGGCTGAGGCAGAAGAATGGTGTGAACCCAGGAAGTAGAGCTTGCAGTGAGCCGAGATCACACCACTGCACTCCAGCCTGGGCAACAGAGCAAGACTCCATCTCAAAAAAAAAAAAAAATACAAAAAATACAAAAAATTAGCTGGGTGTGGTGACACACGCCTGTAGTCCCAGCTACTCAACAGGCTGAGGTGGGAGGATCACCTGAGTCCGGGAGTTTGGGGTTACAGTGAGCCATGAGTGCACACTGCACTTCAGCCTGGGTAACAGAGTGAGACCCTGTCTCAAAACAACAGCAGACTGGGCACGGTGGCTCATGCCTGTAATCCTAACACTTTGGGAGGCTGAGACAGGTGGATCACTTGAGCCCAGGAGTTTGAGACCAGCCTGGCCAACGTGGTGAAACCCCACAAAAAAATACAAAAATTAGCCAGGCGTGGTGGCGCGTGTTTGTAATCCCAGCTACTCAGGAGGCTGAGGCATAAGAATCACTTGAGCCCAGGAGGTAGCGGTTGTAGTGAGCCAAGATCATGCCGCTGCACTCCAGCCTGGGTGACAGAGTGAGACTCTGTCTCAAAAAATAACAACAACAACAATAAAGCCAGGAAGTTTACTCGTGTGCGTGTGTGTGTGTGTGTGTGTGTGTGTGAGAAAGAGAGGAGAGAGATTGATTTTACTTGTAGATTACGCAACACAAAAACTAAAACAAAAAACTCCCAAACCCCACGACCCTCTTTTCCATAACAATTCTACCTTTTCTCTTTAGCTGTCCTGGCAGGGTAAGGTTCTTCACCTTCCCCAGAGAATCTCAAGGAACCGGACCGAGTTTGTTGCAGTTCAGCCCAGTTGCGGTTGTGGGTATCTATAGCAGAGGCTGAGAGTTGAACCTTCATATTTATTCTCTCCTGCCATACTAATAGCATTTTTAGTTAAGTGGCTACCTAGAATGAAGGCTCCATGACCCAGCCTTCCCTGTAGGGTAAGTATGGCCACGTGGCCAAGTTCTGATCAATGAGACATGAGAAGTGATGTGTGCAACTTTCAAGTCATGCCCTTCAAGCAAAGGGGCATGCCTTCCTCTTCTCCTTCCCCTTTCTTGTTGGCGCCAATGTAGACGTAATGGTGCTGGTGAGCTGTCAGGATCACGTGTTTGGGAATAATATTCCATTGTATGTATGCACCACATTTTGTGTATCTATTCATCTGTTGATAAACACTTGGATTTTTTCTACCTCTTGGTCATTGCAAATAATACTGTTATACCCCAGAAATGATGGAGCAACAGGATAGAAGCCTGGGTCCCTGAAAACACCAAAACCCACATCCTAGGTATATAATATCACACAAAACTCCTATTTGACTCTGACTTGCTTGTCTTATTGGGATTTTCCCACTAAGACGACATCTCATCCGCCTCCACTACCTCCCACTATAGGTGGGAAATAGGTTTTTCTTGAAGATTGTGGGCATTTTTCTTATTAGTAATTTTGGGAAGAGCTTAACTACAGAAAAGATTTGAAGACAAAAAACAGGCTTTGGACCAGAATGGGAGAGTAAAGGAAGTCACAGACTGGGACTCCCTGAAGATGGGCTGTTTCTAATTCGGGAGTAGACAGACCCAGGGGAGCCTGCTTCCGACTGGCATCCGGGGCTGATGAGGAAACTGAGGCCGAGACCCTGATGCCATGGAACTCTCTCTCTCTCTCTCTCTCACAGACACACACACACACACGCACACATGCACAAATAGTGGAAAATGTCAGTATCTGGGGAGCTCTCAGGCCCTTTGAGAATGCTTAATTTCTGACAATCATTGGTGCAGCTCAAGCCCTCACACTCTGAATATATATATATATGTTTTTTTTTTTTGAGGTAGAGTCTTGCTCCGTTGCCCAGGTTGAAGTGCAGTAGCACGATCTCGACTTACTGCAACCTCCACCTCCCGGGTTCAAGTGATTCTCCTGCCTTAGCCTCCTGAGTAGCTGGGATTACAACACCCACCACCACGCCCAGCTAATACACTTTGAATATTTTACAGGAAATACTACCTGGCATTTGGATGGGAGGCAAAGCTGTGTTACTAACCCCTGGGAAGTACGTGGTGTTTGTCTCAGGCTCCTTTTCTTTTCTTTCTTTCTTTTTTTTCTTTTTTTTTTTTTGTGTGGAGACAGAGTCTTGCTCTGTAACCCAGGCTGGAGTGCAATGGCGCAATCTCAGCTCACTGCAACCTCCACCTCCTGGGTTCAAGTGATTCTCCTGCCTCAGCCTCCTGAGTAGCTGGGATTATAGGCACCCACCACCACACCTGGCTAATTATTTTGCATTTTTAGTAGAGACAGGGTTTCACCATGTTGGCCAGGCTGGTCTTGAACTCCTGACCTCTGATGACCACCCACCTCAACCTCCCAAAACACTGGGATTACAGGTGTGAGCCAATGCGCCTGGGCAGGCTCCTTTTCATTCATCGATTCCCTTTAGCAGTTCCAGGCTCCCTTCCTGTAGGACACCATCCTCCCAAGACACACTCTTGCAGAGGGGCTTCCTGCTCTGTCCAGCCTCCTCCAGGCCTCTGCCACCAGGCCCTTTGCCCTCCTTGCCCTTTCCTGCCCCAGATCTGGCCAACTCTCTGCCTTCCAAGTGCACACTGGGTGCCCCACACCCTCCCCAGGCTCAGGAGGTAGATACAGAGTAGGAAATGGAAGCTTATGTGACTTACTTAAGGCCACAAGGCTACAGGCGGGGAGCTGGGACTTTAACCCAGGCAGCCTGACTCCAGCGTCTGGGCTCTTTGGCCTGAATCCTCCAGCCTTCAGGGCTCACCCTTCCTTTCACAAACAGATAAAATGTCTCAAGTCCATCTCCTGCATCCTGTGGGAAGTCAGCAGCCTTTCTAAGGCATGCTCGAGGTGGGGGTTGGTTATATTCTCCTGGTTACTGCTGTCCGAATTCTTCATCCCTTCAAGTCTTGTTGCTGCCAGCATCTGCTGTCCTCTCTCCCCTTCCCTCACCCAAGGCATGAGCATTCTCCATCTTCCTTCATTCCCCCAAGCATACCTCAACCAAGCCAATCCCTGGAAACGTGTTCTTAAGGACTGAGGAGGTTTCGTAATAATAGAGGGTCACTATTCATAGCAGTGATCAGGAAAGGGCTGAAAATTCCAAATGAGGTCTCACTGTCCGGCAGGCCCACCCCTACATCCACAGGGATGGACAGGAGCACAAAAGGAGACCTCAACCCTCACCTTCTCCCCCATTCTCTTCCCAACAACAGCTCCACCCTGCACACGAGGGACCTCACATGTGAACTCTCTACTGCCCACTTTGGGATCAGGTCATTCCCTGGTCCTCATGGAGTGGGAGAGGCTCCAGTGGACGTACCTCATTGGCCCCACACAGTGGTGTTGGCTAGGACAGGCCCTTGGGAACCAACTCTGCACATCTTCTAACTTCACTTTCAGTCACATCATGGTGGTAGCTTGAAATCAGTGATGGTGGGAATATTTAGATTATGGAAATTAACAAACACTGTAAATCAGATTTTTGTTTTCCTGGGGAGCTATTTTGCCAGCACACCACTGTGTCATGGATGCCTCACCCCATGCACACGGGCACAGCCCGAGAAAGGCCAGTTCAAAGTTCTCCAAGGCAGTGGTTCTCAGATTTTGCTGCATAATAGAATCACCTGAGAGTTCTGGCAGTTGAGAAATCAGTGTTGTAACGAGCTTCCCAGGAAATCACAATGCACAGCCAAATTGCAGACCAATGCTCTAAAACATTTCTTAGCAAAATTTAGCATAAAGGCTGGGCGTGGTGGCGCACGCCTGTAATCCCAGCACTTTAGGAGGCCGAGGCAGATGGATTGCTTGAGGTCAGGAGTTTGAGACCAGCCTGGCCAACATGGTGAAACCCCATCTCTACTAGAATACAAAAATTAGCCAGGCATTGTGGTAGGTGCCTATAATGCCAGCTACTCTGAAGGCTGAGGCAGGAGAATCGCTTGAATCCTAAAGGCGGAGGTTGCAGTGAGCCGAGATTGCACCACTGCACTCCAGCCTGGGGAACAGAGTGAGACTCCATCTTAAACAAAACAAACAAACAAACAAAAAATTTAGCATACATATAAATTTCCAGGGGGTCTTTTAAATGACAGGTTCTAGTTCTGTAAGTCTGGGTGGGGCCTGCGAGTCTGCATTGCTAACAAGCTCTCATATGCTACTGATGCTGCTGGTCTCTGGGTCATAATCTGAGTAACAAGGGTCTAAAGCACAGGGCCTAAGGGTGGTACTGCTATTCTGAGGAACCTCAGCTTTGCAGCTTATGGGGAATTTCTGGAGTTATCTTTCTTCTTTTTTTTTTTGAGACAGAATCTCGCTTTGTCACCCGGGCTGGAGTGCAGTGACGAAATCTCGGCTCACTCCAACATCCGCCTCCAGGGCTCAAGGGATTCTCTCTCCTGCTTCAGCCTCACGAGTAGCAGGGATTACAGGCATGTGCCACCATGCCTGGCTTTACTGTATTTTAGTAGAGATGGGGTTTCACCATGTTGGTCAGGCTGGTCTTGAACTCCTGACCTCAAGTGATCTGCCCACCTCAGCCTCCCAAAGTGTTGGGATTACAGGCATGAGCCGCGGCACCTGGCCAGAGTTATCTTTTTTCTTAAACCCTGGCCTCAGCAATTTTTTTGGAGCAGAGTCTGGCCCCTTTTACCCTATTCTAGGTCATGGCAAACCAATCTCCTTTGAAGCCTGAAGAAAATTCCCAAATTCTTGCCATCTCATTGTGTAGATCCATTCTCCTTCCAGACAATGCCAGGCTGTGGGTAGGGTGGAAAGGAGGCTCAGCTTTCATAACCAAACAGGTGTTTTCTTCAACAATCAAGCCCCTTTCCTTCTACTCCCTCTGCCCATCCATCCTACGCCTCTAGAATTTAGATGCACAACTACAATAATTTCTTTTTTGTGTTGATTGTTTTCGTTTCCTCTTACATTGGTAAAGACTGGGGCTTAGTGCTGAGGGCCCTGAGGCGAGTGTGAATGACCTGCAGCTCCATAGAGTGGCCCCTGTGGGGTGGGGACAAGGAGGGAGGACCTGCAATGAGGCGCCAGACCCAAGCAGCCTAGTGGTGAATCCCTCAGTCACACAGGCTGAGAGTTACCACCAGACTGTTGGCAAAAGAAGCAGAAGACACCTCAGAACTAAAACAATAGTGAACCTCTCATTGTTGTGTAAAAGCCTAACTAGAGACTAATAAAATCATACCCAATTCTTCCTACAGAGTATTGGGATCAGTCACCATCAACAAATCTTTTGGTTTTTATTTATTCATTTTCTATTTTTTAGAGGCAGGGTCTTGCTGTGTTGCCCAGGCTAGCCTGGAACTCTTGGGTTCAAGCAATTCTCCCGCCTTGGCCTCCCAAACTGCTGGGATTATAGGCATGAGCCACCACACCTGGCTAACAAATCTTTTGTTGCTCAAAGTCTTGAGTTAAAGAAACCTCCTCTGTTGATACAGATGGATACCTGGATAGAGGTGACCCTACCTGCTCTCCGAATCAAGGTTCTGATGCCCACATGGCCTTACGGAGGCTGGCAGCCCGTTGGCATGCTGCTGTTGCAGTGAGGGGTAGTTGTGTCTTAAGGCCATACTCCAAGCCCAGTCTCTGCTCTGCGTGGCTCAGGGCTGACCTGCCTCAGGAGAGACTCGTTTGGGGTGTTGCTCATAGTGATGGGAAGTTAGATCTAATCTAAGCCGTCCCGGTGTCTCCCAGCTCCCTGCAACTCACAGCCTTCTATTTCACGGGCCATGTGTTTTGCTAGAACTTGTCTCAGAGGGGTGAGGGGGTGAGTTTTGGTTATGGGCCTGTTGGAACATTTACTCAGCAGGGATTTCCTGCCTGGCACATGGTCCTGGGGCTTCACTTCAAGTCAGCCAGTGGCTCCCGTGTTCCTGTGCAGAGGCACAGTACTCTCAGGATAATCTGGAAAGCCCCGAGTCCTCCCACTGTCTGGAATTGCCTTTTCCTTTCACAGCCACTCCAAGTCCCGCCTCATTTCTGGCAGGATTTTTGAAGTGCCTCACAGCCACCGCACATTCTGACTACTGCTCTCACTGAATATGGGTGCTGCTTCCCTCCCCGCCATTTGGAGAGCCCCTCCCCCACCTCCCTGTTGCTCCCATTCTTCCTATTTGCCCAAAGGGTCACCATCACAATTCTGTTCCACATAACAGGAACAATGGAGGGGAATTACAGTTCAGGGCACACCAAGTAAATATTTAAAAAGGACTATGAGGCCGGGCACGTGGCTCACGCCTGTAATCCCAGCACTTTGGGAGGCTGAGGCAGATGGATCACCTGAGGTCAGGAGTTCGAGACCAGCCTAGCCAACATGGTGAAAACCCATCTCTACTAAAAATATTAAATGGACTATGAGATGTTCAAAGCTTCATTGACCATCCTTGCCATGGCAAATATCTCACAGTCATCTTAGGGTCCCTGGATGCCACCTCTGTCCAGAAACTTCTCTCCCTCCTTTCATAGCTCTAGACCATGTCTTAGTACCACCCAGAGGAGACAAGATTCTTGCAGCTTTATCAGACAGTACCACCGAATTCCTTTCCTTCGTAGCAATTCTCTCCTTCCTGACCATTGCTGGTGATCTCAACTGATCATGTTCCATCAAGGTAATTCCATAAGCAGCCATCTACCACTGAGATCAATACTATTCCCTAAATGCCAAAATAAGCCATCATTTTATGTTTTTGTAGTGATATTTTTCTTTGTTACAGCATACATTTCAGGAATATTAAACAATTAGGAAACAGTTTGGTAGTTTCTCAGAAAGTTAAACATAGGATTACAGCATGATTCAGCAATTCAACCTCTGGGTATGTCCCCCAAAGAATTAAAAGCAGGGACTTGAACAGATATTTTTGCAGTGTATTTATAGCAGCATTGTTTGCAATACCCAAATATCCATCAGAGGATGGGTGGCTAAACAGAATGTGATCTATACATACAGTGGACCGTCACTCAGCCTTAAAAAGGAAGTTAGTCTTGACACATGCTGCAACAAGGATGAACCTTGCAGACACTATGCTAAGTAAATAAGCCAGACACAAAAGGGCTGATATTGCATGATTCCAGTTATAGGCAATACCTAGAGTAGTCAAACTCCTAGAGACAGAAAGTAGAATAGAGGCTACCAGGGGCTGGGAGAAGAGAAATGGGGAGTTCTTTGTTTAATGCATATGCAGCACTGTTCTGGATGAAAATGCTCTGGAGATGAGTAGTAGTGAAGTTTGCATAACAATGCGAATGTACTTAATGCCACTGAATTGTACATTTAGAAATGGTTAAAATGGTAAATTTTATGTTACGTGCATTTTATCACAATGAAAAAAATTCCACAAATTAGGAGCCTTGGCTCTTTCATCTTCTGTACCCCCAGGCAACACCCTTCCATGTACATGTCCCTGGAGAGACCTAGAGGGGACAGGTGAGGGCTGAGGGCAGGGAGAGCTGATGACTGCAGCGCAGCTGTGCCTATAAAGCAGGAGAGGTTGTTTTGAAGATTCTGCTTCTCTTTGGGATTCAGCATCAACACTTGGCTCACAGGTAAGCCCTCCCTCTGAAGATCCCAAATGTTTTGCTGTTTTCAGTTTTCACCTGTCTTTTGATGGAGTAGAAGCCAGTTCCCTCCCTGGGATTAATATTCACAACAAGCAGCAAGCGATTAATTTAACCAGTTGAAATTTATTGTGCCTTCGCCTTAACTCAAAGCCCAATTCTGCTGGGTGTTTATTTTTCACTGTTGATGCATTGCAGATGACAGCCCCTAAGCATCTGAGTCGAAAGCACACCATGCTACAGAGGTCCTGCTCCGACCTCCTGTTCCTCTTACCTGACCCCCTGAAATCTAGAGAGCTCTCTAAGTTCCACACCATGTCTCACTCAGAAAAACCAATTCTTGACTGCTAGTCTCTAGGAACAGTTGGGATCCAAGAGCCAGTTTAAGATTTTGGTTTCATGCCTGACTCATGGAACTGATGACTCATTTCATTTCAGGGGGCTTCAGTCAATGAAACCTGACTGGAACTTACAAGCACATCCACCCCCACTCGCCGCCTGCCACGGAAACAACCAGAGAGGCTGAGCGTCTCTCAGATTGAGCATGAAACACTCTCAGCTGCGTTCAGCCACATTCGGGGTTGCACGTGTGCTACCGGGCATTGTGCGGCTCATCCCACCCCAAACCCTCTCCTCCTACCTCACCTCGCTCCACCCCGCCCTGCTCCCCCGCCCTGCAAAGGGACTGTTTAGTGAGGACTCCAACTGTTGGCGTCTAACAAGGCAGAACAAAGGCCCGCGTGCTCATGGAGTTCCATTTGGAGTGCACAACAATTTCAGAGCACAAATGGAAAAAGAAAAAAAAGGAGGTTTGAAATCTATAGCTGGCTTTTATCAAATCAGAACTTGTAGCTCTCGGCTGACAATCAGCCAGTAGCTAAAACCCACGAGGGACGGCTCTGACTTGCAGCTTCTGACTGGCTATTAGCTACCAGCAGCCTTCTGACCCTTTTTCCAGGGAAGTAACAGCTGGCAGCTGACAAAGGCGCTGGCAGAGCGGGTAACTTACGCTTCTCTGGGAACGGATCTAAGATTGGCAGGAAATAAGGCATTTAAAATATGACGATTATAAGCATTTTCACTTGCCTTTTTTTTATTATGCTTTTGGATTCTGGCTCTGATTGCTAAAATGTATTATGTGCTAAGGAGCTTTGATGGTATTTTTTGGAGAAGTAGATGTCCCCGCGCTTTCCCTGTCACTAACACCAGCGCTTCAGCCCAGAAAAACGTTCATTCTATGAGTGTTTTCTACGTGGCCTTCTTGAAAACAATTCTTAATAACAAACATGATAGAATAATGGCCGTGAGATTACATGAGCTTAAGTGAAGTGCTGCCGGCTAATTAAAGCACAGCTTTGGCTCATTCAGGGCTGCTGGGCAGGGCCTTCTGTGGTGTTGCAGCAGTTGGGGAGAAAAGTAGAAATTGGGATGAAGTGTAGATGGATTAACCAGCAGTAGATTGAAGAACAATTTAGCCTCATTTCTCTCTTTTATGTACCACGCAGCCCTCCATTTTTTTTTGTCACAAAGGGCAGAGGTAGGGGGATTACAACAAGCCGTCCTAGTAGAAAAGTCAGTGATTGTGAAACGTGATAACCACCCTCACTCAAGAGGGTGGGAGGACACAGTGTGACGACTCCACACTTACTCCCCTTGGGCCCTAGCTGCTTTGTTGCTGTGACTCTTTTTGTAGGACATAGCACTTTGGGGTTGTAGCTATTACACTATCTGCAATATTGCTATTTTAATTTTGGTAATAATAATACAAGCTGCTTATTATAATGGTTGACTTCTATTGAACGTTTTAATTAAAATGTAGATGTTCAACAGGGTGCAAGTGTTCATGCTTGTAGTCTCAACACTTTGAGAGGCTGAAGCAGGTGGATCACTTAAAGGCCAGGAGTTCGAGACCAGCCTGGACAACATGGCAAAACCTCGTCTTTACTAAAAATACAAAACTCAGCTGGGTGTGGTGGTGCATGCCTGTAATCCCAGCTACTTGGGAGCTGAAGCCGGAGAATCACTTGGACCTGGGAGGCGGAGGTTGCAGTGAGCCGAGATCATGGCACTGCACTCCAGCCTGAGTCACAGAGGGAGACTCTGTCTCAAAAAAAGAAAAAGAAAAATGTAGATGTTCAAGGTAATGTTTGTCCAAAGAGTACCAGATGGGTGAGGAGAAGAACACCAAGTGGCCAGTAGGACAGAGAAACTTATCCAAAAGGTCAAAAGGAATGGACTGGCTGAGCACAGTGGCTCATGCCTATAATCCCAGCACTTTGGGAGGCCGAGGTAGGTGGATCACCTGAGGTCAGGAGTTTGAGACCAGCCTGGCCAACATGGTAAAATCCCATCTCTACTAAAGATACAAAAATTAGCCAGGCATGGTGGTGGGCGCCTGCAATCCCAGCTACTTGGGAGGCTGAGGCAGGAGAATCACTTGAACCCAGGAGGCAGAGGCTGCAGTGAGCCAAGATTGTGCCACTGCACTCCAGCCTGGGCGACAGAGTGAGACTCTGTCTCAGAAAAAAAGGACTGGACTAGCTAGAAGAAGAATTTTTCCTTTACAGGCTTAAATGGCACAGATATGTGCATTTGACTTAGTAAGCAGGGTATTTTCAGAATACTGGGTTCTGTTTCTTATGTTCTTGCCTAAGAAAAAAAATCAATTTTAATAGGAAAGCTTATTTTTCAAGATGGTGGACTGGGCACATGGGTTTCTGCCACTCCCTCCCAAGGACCCATTAAAATGATAATAAACGCATTTTAAAAGGGTATAGCCCTATAATGTGAAGAGAATTGAGGAACAGGAATCAGTAGACTGTGAGAGAAGGAAGATAAGAGAGAGGACAGTTGATTTTCCAAATAAGTCCTCCTGTACCATTGGTTTGTTTAATCATGTAGATATATCACTTTGTTATAAAAGATTTTTAAGTGGGAAGGGACCTTTGTTGTCTTCTTCCTCCTCCAGCTTTTAATTAAGACCACATTTCCACCATTCTAAAGAGATGATCTGAGGTCCTATTTTTAACAACCCCCAGAGAAAGGCAACACAATTCTCTCCTGGACTGAGCTGTTTCACTGTCTGATGATCCTCATGGTTTTGATTCACATTTTCCTTGCAGCCTGAAGGTGATCATGTACACCCAGGAGTAGCCCAGCTCTGTTCCATGAAATGAAACGTCCAGAGCTGTCCTCTTTGTGTTTTATATGGCAACACATTTTTATGTGTGATTAAAAAACAAAACAACAAAGTAAGGAACGTAATAAGCTTATCAAAGTACAATAGTTGCTGCTTCACCAGAAAAACTAGTGCTTTCATTCTATTTCTAGCGCTGTTAGGCTAACCCTAGGGAACCAAAGACATTTTGCACTGAAATAAAGAATAACACTTAACAGCTATAGTCAGGCTCATGACAAAATTGTGAAATAGGCAAAGTTTTTTTACTAGGATTTTCCCATCATCCCTGGCTGGGTGTTTCTCCTCACTCAGCTCTAGGACAACTATTGCTCTCTAGGTGCCAGGAAAACAAAACAAACTATTTTACAGTAAAGTGTCATCGACTCCGTGTGAGTTCTACCCCAAGGACATTTGTGTTCCATATCAGTCTGTATGCAATCAAGAGAGAGAAACTATACAGTAGTTTGAACAGGGAAAATATAACTTAAAGAATTACTCATTATAACAGGAGACTAAAGTAACAAAGAACTGATTGGTAAGATGTAAAAAGAACTCTAAAGAATATCAGAATGGCAGCTATAAGGAGCACCCACTACCTTTAGAGCTGAGATACAGGCCAAGGAAGAGGCCCCCTAGGGCTGAGATCCAGACTTTGTTGAAGAAGGCTCAGCTGTGGCACAGGGGATGACAGAGAGGACAGAGAGGTGAAACTTCCTGGAAATCCATCCTCTAGGGTGTCAGGAAAAGCTGATCACAGGAAGATATTGTACCAGATGCATTCTGCTACAAAACCACCCAAAGTGAGGGAAGTGCCCAGGAAGCTGCTGGCCACTGGGTGCCTCTGGTCACTATGCATTATAGGAGCCAGACATAGGAGAAGTTGCTTGTGCCACAGGAGTCTTCTAAGCTTCAGGTATCTGTCAAGCAAGCATAAGGGAGCCAGGACAGAAACCCCTTCCTCCTGCAGTGTCTGCCCAGACCCCTCTACTGAAGCCCCAAACCACAGTATATATTTAAATGACTAAACATATATACACACAGCTTAACATTGTGCCAACTGCAAGAGAAAAATGTTTGAAGGGCACAGCTCCATTTTTGAAGATCATGCAATGAATGGTGAATTGAAGATCATGCAATGAATGGTGAATTTAAAGTCAAGAGGCTACAAATTTATAACCAGCACACACTGTAAAAGAGAAAGAAAAGATCAAGGCAATGCTGAACCCAATGGGATGAATTTCTAATGGTAAAGTTCCAGAATAAGCAGGCTAGTGAAGGTATTTTGGAGAAGAACAGCTTTCTAATGGTCCGCAAATCACACTATGTAGATGACATAAATGTATATCACAACTGATGGGATTATTAAATGCTGCTTCAAGGCAGGAAAGGGATGCTGTCAGGCCTTGAGCTCTTAGTTCAAGTTCACTTCCATTCCTAGGTGTGTCTAGGACTGACTACTTGCCACCAATTCCATTTCCGCTTTCAAGCACATGAAGAGAAAATATTCCCCAGACTTGCTTCTAGGTGGGGCATGCAACAAGTTCTGGTCAATTGAATTGGAGCAGAAGTAATAAATGTCATTTCCAGATCTGGCCCCTAAAACATCCCATTAGACCATCAGTTCACTGATGGCCAGATGAAGGTAGGGGATCCAGCAGAAGGCTCCAAAGGAGCTCTCGGGGATGGTGGTGCCCTAAGGTGAAAAAAGCCCAAGTGATAGCTTAGAGGAGAGATGCTCTGGAGAGCTGCCAAACCACACTGCACTGGAGTCTGACTGAATTGTTAAGCCTCTGATACTACTGGAATTTTTGTTACTGCAGCTAGTGTTAATTACCCTGACTGATACACTGTGCAAATTAAGAGTGCTAGGACAGTCTCATTCTTAAGCTTACATAGCAGAGAGATAGGACTCATTATTCCTTTAGTTTGAGCTTGTCAGAATGAGGAAGCTAGATCATATGTTCTCTTTGGTTCTATGTCTCTTAAGTGTGGGATGTCTGAGTCCCAAAGTAATTTACCATGGTCCAGTGTGGAGGGCAAAGTATGGCAAACCAGTCACTGCACTGAATAGACAAAGATGCTATGAAAATAAAACATCAGGACATGTTCTTCTCTCGCTTCTGGGAATTAGTTATTTGTATAAAGAGGATTGACATGGAGGCACAGAATAGAATGCATAAGTGACAGAAGGGACCACTTTCCCTGCCAAAGCCCAGCCCCTGCTCTTTCAGGTAGCTCCACCCCGGTGCACACCGTTTGCCCACTGGAGGAGCTTTCAAGGTCTGGGCTCAACTCTTCTCTCTGTTGTTCACTGATGAGCAGAAATAGCCTTGGTCACATATAATGCACAAATATTTTTAAAGTGCCTTATTTTTCATATTTAAATTATATTAAATGTATATTTATATTAAATATGTATATTAAATGACTATATACACACATTTCCCTCCATTTTCCCCTTCAGATAACCCCCCAGTATATATGGACTTTTTTGGGGTATGTATGGATGAAAAAGGAAAGAGATTGCACGTAGTAGGTATCATTCCAGGTCAAACCAACTGAGATACTTCTGTGGCCTCCTCTAATTTCATGGCTGTCAGGCTATAAAGCCAGCTGGAGAATGCCTCTGAGACCTCAGCTGGGGAGAAGCTCTCCCCTGACCTCTGAGATTCAAGACCCTCTGGAGAACTGCCCTGACCCTCAGATGGTTTCTTTATGTGACACCCATGGAGTTAGCATGGATCTCCTGAAGGTCTGCATCCTGTGATCCAACACCTCGTGAGTAAATCACTTTTAACAGCAGCGTGGCACAGTATAAAGTTTATGGAGGATGGACGTAAATTTGGGCCTGGAAAAAGCACGGTTCCCTGTGGTGACAGGCAGCTGGGGTGGTGTGCTCAAACACCCCCTTTACTGGATCACAAATGATCTCAGCTGGAGGCCTTACTAGCCCCTAACAGAACACACAAAACAAGGATCTGAGAGAGAGAGAGCCAGTCCCATGCTAGCACCTAGCATCCCAAATCCAAACTTGGAGCTGCTTTTCCTACTATGCTCAGCATAGGAAATCTATTACACTGAAGGCAGCACCCTCTAACTCCAAGCAGACACCTTTTTGGAGGTTTTAGTGAATTTCAGAGAAACCAGGGTTAGAAAGAAGGAGGCTGGAGGGGGAAGCAAGAGAGAGAAAGAGAGAGAATTTTATTCTCCTGTCTATTGACACATGAGTACATGGTTCTACTTTAAAATTCTGTTTTGGGATGGAGAATCTCCAAAATAGCTCACTAAATCAAACGTTTTTAGGGGCTTTTTACAGTGAAATCAATATCAGCGCCCCCACTCTCTATGTGCCCCAGGATGTACCACAGGCTCCACACCTACAGCTTCGTCTTTGTCTTAGTGAGATTGCACATACTGATGTGTGCGCACGAAAGGGACCCTGAAGCCTACAGGGTTAAGGACTTCTCACACACTGAAGTCCCAAACCACAGGAGCCTTGACAGGTTTCCTTGTGGCACCTGCCAGGCTGACCATGTTAAAAATCATTCCTTTCCAGGAAAGAGTGGATGTTGGCCTTGGAAGCCTGAAGGTGAGGCTGCGTGGGGGTGGTGGTGGGTGGAGTGTGGAGGAAGGGAGTGTCATCTCGAAGAAACG